ATTCTGGTGATTTGAGATTAATCTCTTGAAAGCACTCAATGCTAATAATAAAAAGTAACTTCTTAGATAAACTTGAAGTGATTTGTTTTGATGAAATTAATTTTAATTAACTTTATAAAATCATTTGAGAATGAAATTCATTTACAATTCAAAAATTTTGGAATAAAATAAAATCAGTGAAACAGAAAAGCTTCAAAACAAAACTCTATTAGAATAAAAAGTATAAAATGCTTCGTACTATGAGAATGAAACTTTATGAAGCCATTTAACTGTTAAATCACAAATTGCATTTATACAGAAGTGATCATAATTAAAAAGCAGGTGATATGAGTTCTGTAGAAATAACTATTGGACAAAATTCAACAAAATTTAATAACATGCTGTCCCAAGTATGTGATTTTGATTTTCAGAAAAAATTTTACTTCAAAAGTTAGTTACTGAAGCAAAATTTGGTGCTGCTGTCTCAATATGCATATTATATACATTTTCTAAAAAATTTCAGAAGCTAAGAAACAAAATGCAATAATTTTATTTTACTTACAGATATGATTACAGATATGCAATGTGCAATTGACAATTAAATCAAAGATATGGCTCTATGTATCCTTCATCCCTATGCTGTAAAAACTGCATAGGGATGGAGGATACTCACTGCATAACACACTCAATGTGAAATGCAACTGATCTGTGTGGAGTTGCCACACAAGTTGTGAAATTCTATATTTTAGATAACTAAGTTAGCAACATTACCTTAATAAATAAGACGTTTTAGGTAGTTACATAGCCAAAAGTCATGGGGAGTTCAGAGCTGGTGATGGTGGTGTAAGGAACCAAGTCCGAGCGTTATTTTTATTTACTTTTATTTTGCTTATTATTCTATTTTTGTTTGGGGCTTATGTTTTGTTAGGACGAAGGTTTCCTCACCATTCACCTTAGGAACTTAAAAAATAGAAAAAAAAACCAACTCACCGACAAAAGAAAAGCGCCATAGAAAAACTTGCGCACACTTGCGCTTCCCGAGCGGAAAAAAGTAAGTCCGCACCGAGAAAAAGGGGGGGAGACCCCACAAGCATGAATTAGGGACTCGCTAAACCTTAAAGAATAAAAACATCCCGAAAATTGTCAAAAAGAATAATGTAAAAGGTTAGCGAGTATTATCGGAAAATAGGCTGCCAGACAAACGAAAAAAGTTTATTGTTAGTGTTAAGTATGTAAATGAAGAGAGTGATCTCATTCAGAATTGTGACGTCACCTCACACTATAAATCCCGAGTCTCAAGTGAAGATGAACGAGGTGAACTCCTGATAGCAACGAGCTTTGGTGAGCTTCATAGCAGTGAACGAGAGAGGTGTCCGATAGGATCAAATAGTTCCAAGGCTATTTTGAAGTTATTCGATTTGTGGATCGACAATTATAGAAAGTCTTGAGAGTTTGAGGAAATAGGTTCCTAGTATATTGAGGTGACGATTAGGACCATTAATTTATAAGAATTATTGTTTATAAGTTAAGTCTTTGATTTTTGTCGAATTCCAAAGGGGAATAGAATTAAGTTAGAAATAGATTGATTTGAGTTTTGTCAGGTTGATTCTTGTTGAATTTCATTGAATAAATTATTGTTTGATTTTTACTAAATACTGTATATAGTTTATTACTAGAAGTTTAATTAAATATTTGATTTTTGTTATTGACAAACTTTGTCATTATTTAATTTGGTGCACGCTTAAAGTCCAGGCCTGGCACACTAACACGAATCCGCGTAAAGTACCCGTTAGGGAACGGCTATTTCCGGCACACAGTAGTGTCGATAATCGTTGGAAAAGTCGGAAAAATAAAATAGTACTTTACAGTGGTAGCTCTGACATTAGAAATGATCATTAATAATGCATGTGAAAAATTTTGTAGTAATGGCTTGCATATTTAATACAATATGCGATGGTGAACTGTCTTGCATAAAGGTTGCAGACAATTTATCTGCCGAGTGCTAGAATGTTATTTTAAGACATATTTTATATCATCAAACATCCTTACTACGCCCGATACGTTTAAAGCTATACAACAACCAAAGCCGAATATTATCAGGCTAGAAATGGCTATAATGCTAATAATTAAATAGACAATTTGGCATTTTTTATATTTAAAATTCATTAAAAGCCCTACATAATGTGAGCATTAAGAAGACAACAGCTCTAAATTTTGCACTAGTGGCTGAATTTTGAATTAAAATGTTTTTCCCAAAACTCAAAGCCACATATGCAGGACAGTACATATATACCAAATTTGGTTGAGATTTGCACAACATTTCTTTCTATAGAGAGCTCCAAACACCTACTCTTTCATTCTATCTATTATATTGGATAATAATATAAAAAATAAAAATCAACATTATTATAAAATAGTATTAAATATTATTTTAAACATTTAAAGCATTTGAAATATAAAGAAAAGATATAAATACTTTATTATTATTATCATCATCATCAAAATGTTTTAAATTTTAAAACATTTACTTTTATTTTATCATTTTTTAAATTCTAAACTTAAAAAAAAGATCTAGAACACTTACCAAAAGTTGTAAATACAATAATTGCAGTAAGTGAAAAAAAATCTAAAAATCTTCCATTTTTAATTTCTAAAACTGCATTTAAAGGTACTAAAAACAGTAGAAGTATTCTTGATAAATAAGGAGCATGAATAAATACAGCAGAAATAGCAGCCAATAAGAAATATGCTAGATGGAGTATACAGGTATTCAGTAAAGTAAGTTGTTCACCTAAGAAAAAAAATTTAGTTTCATTAATATAAATGTTTCATAAAAATATTATGAGAAGCACAAGACACTAATATTTAATTAAAACTAAAACAGAATTTGTTTTAAAATGAGTGTTTTTAACTGTCTTGATCAGTTACCTGCAGGTTCTATACAAAGTTGTAGTAGAAGTTATTGTGATACTCCCATCTCATGTTCATTTTCTTTTATTTATTTTATTTATATTTTATTTCTCCAAACTGAACCATTGTTGTGCTTCATTTAGACATTATTACCAGTGGTGATAATAGTCTCGGTTTGCCAGGTATGCGACTAATAAATGTCAACTGAATCATCTTTGTGAAGCACTCTGATTGGAGGAAAATTATGTGTGACATGTAAAAAGAAGGAAAAGGAGAATAAAACCAGATGAACTGAGGGAGACGACATCTTTTTCCTTTACCTCAATGCACTTTGTTTCGTCTGGGGTAACCATTGGACCAAGAAAGGGAGATCATCAGACAAAGAGGGTCATCATGCTCAAGGAAGAAAAGAGAGAGTGGAATGGAAAGGAATGGTCCTTTCCACATTTGGATTGTGTACAAAGATCATCCATGGGAGCATTGAAATTAAATTAAATTTGTATATTATTATTATAATATGTATATTGGTATTTAGCTTGTATATTGTCTGGAATTGTATGAATAGTAATTACTTTGTTTATCAATATTATCAGGGTTATCTTACTGTATACATATATTAGTTTAGTCCAATCATGTTATCATGATTAATTGTTATCATATTTATTATCATATAATTCCCAACAAAAATTTGTTTCCAAGTGAAAGGAATTACATTATATTCAAGCAGGCTCTCAGACAAGACTTGTATATAATCAATAAATATATTTTAATATTGCCTGTATATTTTTGGTTTGAATAAAGATGTAATAATGTCAGATCACTTTTTCAGAATGTGCTGCAACTAGTATTTCATAGGAGAAACTTTTATCATACAGGCGTTAAATTACAAATAAATGTCGCTAGACCGACAAGCGCTGAACTTATTATTATTTGCTGTGTGGTAAATGAGGCAGGCTACAATAATGCCAAATTTATCTACATCTTAAACAAAGTAAAAAGATCGCTTTTTCCTGCTACTACACTGCATCTCCTGAAAGAATCCACAATAGATCTTCCCGCTATACCATTTTGTGGTCACATCACTCTCCATATTTGCCGTATTTTTAGGCGATATGCGGTTTTTCTGCCAGTTTCCCCACGGCCAAATCTTAGGAGGTGCTGTCCAATGACAGGGATCCTATTTCCATTCTTGAAAGATTGGGGGTTTATTCTATCCCATTAGAAAATATGTCGGGTGGTCGCACCCATTATATTGGCGCGACAACTAGAATGTTGTCTTGTCGTATTTCAGAGCATCAGTATTCTATCAGGGAAGGCAGGAATGAAACTGAGCTCACTAGAATGATATTACAACACCAACATACCCCGTTGTGGGACGAGGTGGCCATAATAAGACATTGCAATAACAGAAATATCATATATATTTGGGAGGCCCTCCTTACCAACATATTAAATCCCTGTGATTTGCCCCCTTTGTGGATCAATTTGTATAACTATCTAAAACAACATATCTAGCTCCACAATTTGGAGGCGCATAGCACATGCACATTATTACCGCGCTTGTTTTTTTTTAAAAACTGTCTTATGTTCTACTGTTGCTTCCGTTCCAAAACGTTAATACGCTTGGAACAGTCAGTTATTTGTAATAAAAAAAAAAAAGGAATTTAACCGTTTTTAACAACCTGAGGAAGACGAAAATAATTATCGTTGAAAGCACTTGTCAGTCTAGCGACATTTATTTGTAATTTAACGCCTGTATGATAAAAGTTTCTCCTATTAAATGGTCGGTGTGCTGTCCACTTCTGTATTATAGATAACTAGTATTTCCCCATGACAGTTGAAAACAACTAAAATTTTATTTCTTCTTGAATATAATGTAATTCCTTTCACTTGGAAGCAAATTTTCATTGGAAATTATATGATAATGAATATGATAACAATTAATTCTGATAACGTGACTGGACTAAACTAATGTATGTATACAGTAAGAGAATCCTGACAATATTGATAAACAAAGTGATTACTATACATACAATTGCTGACAATATACAAGCTAAATACGACATCTGATGGAAACGACATTTTTTTCCTTTACCTCAATGCACTTTGTTTCATCTGGGGTAACCATTGGACCAAGAAAGGGAGATCATCAGACAGAGGGTCATCATACTCAAGAAAGAAAAGAGAGAGTGGAATGGAAAGGAATGGTCCTTTCCACAGCTAGAGTAGCTGTGGAAAGGACCATTCCTTTCCATTATACATTCCATTACCATTCCTTTCCATTATACATATGATTCCTGACAATATACATACAGAAAAGTAATGGAGTTATAATGTTTCAAACCAAAGATTGGAAAATATAAAAAATGTCAAAAGAATACAGAATAAAATTGTGTTGAAGACAGAAAGAAAAAAGCCTTAAATTGAAAAATAATGATGAATTGAATCCTGAACAAGTTTTAAAATATACATGCAGTAGACCAGGGCGCCGCTAGCTGTTTGAACGCCCGTGTGCAATACCGATTATGCTGCCCCCTGTTTAACTACGACTACCTACGCTGAGCTTGCCAGTAAGGCTCTTTAGTGTTGTCTCATAAGGGTGTGAAAAAAGAAAAATACTTTATAAAGAAAAACTATTTATTATTACTAAGTTATTTTTGTTTACTTAAGTGTAAAACCATATAAATATTTTATTTACAGAAATTTAACTCTTCTTGCCTTTATGTTTGCGAAATCTGCTATCAATTTTCTTGTATCCAAGCTGTATAAGATTTCGTGTTCAATTGAAACTATAGCTAAATTACTTAGTCTTTGCCGGTACATTGTTGATCTTAAATAGTTTTTTTATAATTTTTAACTTTGAAAAAAACCTTTCACCAAATGCAACTGAAACCGGCAATGTAAGTAATATTCTTAGTGCTATTGCTGTGTTAGGAAATGTTGATATTAAGTCATTAGTAAAAAGATATTGTAATAGGGTTTGTGGATCATTAGACTGGTTTTCTGGAAAATGCAACTTTAAAGTACAGATTTCAATCATACAAATCAATACCGTCAATGTCTGTTTCACTACTCGAATCGTCTTTAAGCTTCAGATTTAAATGCTAACCAAGTTAAAATATGATTAATTATACTTAGACCCATGTCAGAAAAATTATTAACAAAATAATTGCAATTTGATATGCGATAGAACTGTTCGAATGCGTACAAGTACAAATTGAGAAGGAAGCTCTGTGGGGATTCCCTATTATCGCCAGTCCTATCAACTTCTGTCATAGAGCACGACTATGGGTACTTGGCTTTCGGGCGCCGCCGGATGCTTCAACCTGCCGACAGACGTTTCGCATTGCATCTTAATTCTGATAAATGCCAATAGAGACGCTTTAACGCTATAATATAAATAAGAATATAATAATTGCGCACCGGTCAGAATTTTTTTCTCCGTGCGAAGACATTTCTTATGCTATAAGTAGGGTGGGTATTATGACAATGACTTTGAATATTACGTAACTGATCGCTCGATTTGCCGCCCCCTGGATGTGCCGCCCGCGTGCGGTGCACGCCCGCTTACGACAGACCTGCAGTAGACTGTCGTTTATCCGAAAGCTGTCAACCAAAACATCAGTTAACCAAAAGCATTCCAGTTGGCAAATTTAAATTTTCACTAGTGCTGTGGCACTGCAACCTTTGGCTATATCTTGGGCTACTCCAATATTTTCGTTGTTGGTGTGTGTGTTTTAGCTGGCAGCACTGGCACTTTTGTGTGCTGCTTTTCTGAGGACTGTGTCGGGATGTGTGTCGTGCTGAATCAAACGTTTTTGATAGTAGATTAACTTCTAAAGTATAATTTTTTGTTTGTATATTTTTCAATATATTTATTTTGTTTGTACAAAATAAAGAAATAATTTTTAATGATACAATAGCCACGATTATTATTATAAAAATTTTCGTTAGGCTTAAAATGGACAAAAATTCAACACAAAACGACATGCAACAGAGAAAAATTTCAACATGGGATAGGTTAATATGTTTTTTTCGTACATAATCAGTTATCTGAAAAATAAGTTATCTGAACAATCCCAGTCCCCAATTGATTCGGACAAACAACACACTATTGTATAAAGAAATGTATCAAATTCAAACAGAATTAGACTGAATAGAAATGAAGAGTTACAACTGAAACAGCATCACAAATTTTAAAAAGTTAGATATTAAAAAGGAGATACTGTAGAACAAAATGTTACAACCAACAGATAAAACTTTTTGAACTTTGTCAACTTTTATCTTATGTAATGAAATGGACTTTACCAAAGAAGTTAAAAAAAACAGTTTCTAAAATTCCATCTTAGAAATTGGTATTTCAGTCATTCCACGAATTGAAGGAACTAAAAGAACTACTCTTGCTTATCTTATTATCAGAAAAGTAAAGAGAATTAAACAGACTATTGGTCAAAAAATTAGAGACTACTATTCACTTAATTTCAGCTAACTTTCGTGGAATACTTTAAAGAAATTTGAAGAGGAAAAGGAGTAGGAAGAGAGAGGAATAAAAAAAACATGCAGCTAGACTACAAACTTTTCAAATATATATGAACAATAAGAAATCTACCATCTTTGATAATTTATTAAAACTAGAGTTAACAAACTGATTCAAATCAAAATTAGGTGGGGATTAATGAAAGTACAGGACAAATGTAAAGTAATTGGCAAAATTTGCTGAAAAGTATTATGAGGCAACAAGCTGTAATCATTTCAGAATTGAAAGAAAAGTAGGAAATTTAATAGACAAAGTAAACACATTTAAACACACAAGAAGAATATCAATCATACTAAAATGAATAGAAATATATACAAAAGTAGTGGCAGAAAAGTAGAGAAAGGACACTGGGACTGAGTGAGAATGAGAGAAAAACAGATGCTCTAGATGTAAAACATGCAGGCACATTTATAAGATAGAAAAATGGTAGAACCATAGGAGTTTGAATCTCAGATATGCAATTCATCCGAGACTGCATATTATTCAATAAACAAAACTTACTCTAACACCTTGTAAACGTGCAGCCAAATTTATTAATTTCCTAATGTTTTCGGTCATGTTAATAACCTAATAAACAGAAGAAACAGATACAGCAGAAAACACATTTTTAAGAAACAGACTGCTCAAATGCTTTTTACATTAATATATGCCCTTGTTACGTTATATGTTATATTTCAGGCGTCTTAATTTCTTTGTGAATAATTTTCTCTTTATGGACCCAATTGTATTTTATTTTTATGTTTTTTGTTTTATCTTCATGTTTTAATATTAGCTATTGATAAAGATGGCACACCTGATGTTCAATAGAATATCATTCAAAAACGTTCGAAAAGCCTATTCGTTTATGCAAATGTACCGTGTTTGAATTTTAAAGTTTTTTCTTGATAAAGGTCATTTAGCATGACCGAAAACGTTAGGAAATTAATAAATTTGGCTGCACATTTACAAGGTGTTAGAGTAGGTTTTGTTTCTCAGATATGCACATTTAATCAAGGCCAAACAGAATAAAGAGGACCAATTAGTGGCAAAAGTAGGCATTGAAGCAATTATTAGTAAGGCTAGACAAAATTTGAGAAGGTTGAGCATGAAGGTTTGCACAGTTGGAATGGAATGACCCCTTTATTTATGTCAATAAATTAATTCTTTGTACTGTATTTTTGTGGAATGACTGGCATGCCAGTATATCCGAGGGAGACCACGAAATCAGACATTTCTGTACGGTAAAAGCCAGCATGCTGGTTTATTCCAGGGGAATGTTGGCATGCTGGTTTAAGTGAAGTTATATATCCCTCTCTAGAGAGCACATTAAAAAAAATTAACTAGTTATGTCACGTAAAAACAAACAAGTTTTTGTTCTAAAACTGTGAAACTATCAGCACACATCAAAAACTACAATTATACATTTAATTTCTTCATTTTATCTTCTTTCTAACAATGTAAAATACTCATGGAATTCCAAAAGTGTTTTCTTTATGTATAGTTTATTCTTATTTGATTCAAAAATGCAAAAAATAAACATATTAAATTTAAAAAACTCACTGTAAATTATCTCAGCTTAAATCATTAACATGGGTTTTGTGTGAAATTTGAGAGGAAGGTGTTATTTTTAAGGTCAGGATAGATGGTCAGTGTAGCGGACACTGACTAACTACTTCTACTACTAATGTCAATAAGTCACTAATTGTTTCATTGTCTTGTAAGCAAAAACTCTCTTCCTGATTTTAAGTCAGTCAAATTACAATGTTATTATTAATAAAATATTAACATTGTAATTTGTGCTCATTGTAATCAGATTTAACAAAACTAGTTGTTAATTAAATGTTAAAGAATACATTATTCTATTTAATTAACAACTAGTTTTGTTAAATCTGATTAATTTTATATTTTAATCACAGTTTAACCAGCATGCTGGTCTCCCCCATTTTTATGCAGCATGCCGATCATTCTGCAAAAATACAGTACTTAATTTACAGGGTGACACACAAGATGCTGAACCATTTATATATAGGTTTAATTCAATATTACACCACATAAATTTACAAACTACATACACTTTGAAGCACAAAAGCATGAAAATCTGTTATTAATGAAGACAAGTTCAATGTGGCCACAGTTTTGTTACCCTAGCTTTTCAAGGAAAACATTCACATTCTGCACCACTTGTCAATCTGTGTTGACGAATAGTACAGAATATGCCATAAACATCCCTTTCACAAAAGTTCTGTAAACATTCTTCAGTCAAACTCTGACATTCTGTTTATCTACTACATTATTCATATGAAATAAGCCTCTTCTGAAAACCAGGTGTTGTGCAGGATGTCTATCGTCTGCATAGTCCAAGTTGCAAAATGAAGCCTTTGTTCTACTTGGTTAGAAAATACAGCACTGTCATTTTATAGGAAAATAAATAAAGGTCTGAATGGAGGAAACCACTGAATAGAGCAGTGTTTTTCAAGCTTTTATCTCACAACATACTTAAACTTATAATGATCATATGATTTAAAGTTATGTTTGTAAACATTCTATCACCATATTACATGCCACTTAACCTAATTCTTTTCATCTATACATTTGGTAAATTAAATAAAACAGTATTGTAGTTCCTTAAAATAGCAGCAGATTACAACAATAGTTACTTAAATTAATAATTTTCATTTACATAAGAAAAGGAATTAACATTAAGTCATTTAAAAGTGGCATAATTGCCTTTAGAAATATACCCAATGTCCTGCTTTTTATAAGTTAAAATAATTTGAACTAAATATGGACAATTATAAATACATTTTTGATTTAAAGAAAATTTCATTATTAAATGAAATAACCTGGTGTTATGCATATATAATTTTGCTTATGAATATATATTTTTTACTACATTAAATATATGTTTAATTATTATAACAATGAAAAACGCATATAATGAATTTAAAGAGGTTTTAATTTTTACATGTACTATACACTTATTGTTCTTTGGGCTTCTTTTGAAAATAATTTATTTAATAACCTTCAAAAATTTTTTATTGTTTTTAAGTCATAGAGAGTATATGAACATTCCTTTAAACCCTGTGTAGTCTTCCAAAATAAATGCTACTACTTTAAATTATCATGATTATGTTAATTATTATCTGAGAAATGTATGATTACACCAGTCAATAAAGTAACTGTCCAAGTTTCATTTCCCAGCTGCATTCAAATGTCTTGCTGTCCACTAACTCTAGAAAGCTCTATAAATGAAAATGGTGACTCTGCAATTAAGAAAGCATATTGTGTTCTACAGTTTCCAAAGTCAGAATCACTTATTATTGTAAAACATGAGTAATCTGCAGAATCTCTAGAATTGTGGCTGCTAAGAAGTGACAATAGATTTGCTGTAATGAGCATAGGGAGAATTTGATGCATGATTTAATCAGATGCATGCTATGAGACACAAGATGCAGATATTGAGAAATTGTAATGGGCAAATATGAAACTTGGATAATTTTCCAGTGTTTTAATGCACATTACAATATTCTATTCAGATAATAATTAACATAATTACATTAATTTAAGATGGTAACATTTTTTTTGGAAAATCCCATATAATTTTAATAATCAAATTTGTAAAAATAGTTCAGGGTTTAGAGTGAAAGTACCTGATTATATTTATATATTAATAAATTTTTCTTTATGTTGAATAAGATCACTATGAAGTTATAAATTGAACTTCATAATGAGCAATAATTATATACCAATTATTTGACAAAATACACTTACCAGTTCCATCTAACAATTTTCCAAGCCATCCAAGCTTTAAATTAATTTCAGTACGCACCTGTTCTACAACATGCATCATATGACTAATGGTTTCGTTTATTAACTGAAGATTACGTAAAGTTTCTTTATAATTTTCTGATGTTTTTATTTGTTGTTGAAGAAGTTTTTGAGTACTATTTTCTGAAAAAAAAAAACTATTATTTATTTAAAGAATTTTTATATTTCACTTTAAATAAAATATATAAAATAATCAAGTATACAAAAAATCAACTGAAAGTTTAACAATATATTCATCCCAAATATTATCAATTTATTTATTTATTTACGAGATAATTTTATTTGCACATTATAAAATTTAAAGCAATAATACATAACTATTTTTCAAATAATTCATTTAATTTTATTTAATTTACTATATACAATAGCATGAACTCAATATGCAAATAATGTACCTGACAAAATATTCAGAATTACCAGGCAAACCAGCTAGTTTTGAAAGTGGATAGTTTTGACTTTGATGCACTGTAGTATATCTGTACCAAACGGCCAGATTCCTTTATTGGGCTATTAAAGCTAAATACAGTAGAGCATCGATTATCCGACTCAATTGGGGACTAAGGTTGGTCGGATAACTGAAAAAATCAGATAACCGAAAAGAATGAAAAAAATACATTATTAATATAGTATATTAGTATATCCCATGTAATTAATATATTAGTATATTGCTATTAACCGATATACTAATATACTATGTAATTAATATATTAGTATATTAATTACATAGTATATTAGTATATCCTATGTAATTAGTATATTAGTATATCGCTATTAACCAACTTTGTGTTGAATTTTCATTGATGTTAAGCTTAACAAAATTTTTTTTAAAATAATAATTGTTGCTATTGTATCGTTAAAAATTATTTTATTGTTCACAAAACAAACAACCATTCATAATTAGAAAATTAAGTCTCGTTTAAATACTGGCTTTCCTTCAATGGTTGAGCTGTGTAGCCAGCTAAAACACACAAAAATTTAACAAAAATAATATTAAAGTAGCCAAGACAAATATTGTAGTGCCACATCACTAGCGGACATTTGAAATTTGCCAACTAGAATGGTCGGTTAGCCGATGTGATGGTTAATCGGGGGTCGGATAATCGATGCTCTACTGTAATTGATTTACTGAAGGCATTCAATTTCAGTAAATTTTAATTTATAAAAGATTGAAAGAAGTGGGGAAATTTACTTAAGAGAATTCACATGTAAATTTATTTATTGGAAGTGTTTAAGCTTTCTTGTGTGATTTAAAACAGAAAAATGCTGAACAGAAATATAAATACAGTAGAGTCTCGAAAACTCGGCACTCGATAACCTGGCAGTCCGGATAACTTNATGGTTTGCCTGGATCAACCCACGATTTCTTGCGTTTAGGATTCTCAAAATATATCCATTTCTCATCGCCAGTTATAATCCGATGCAGAAACGACTTTCTTTTTTGTCTGGCGAGCAAGATTTCGCATGTGTTTTGGCGTCGCTCCATCTGCCTATCGTTCAATTCATGCGGCACCCATTTTCTGATCTTCTGAATCTTTTTCATGGCACGTAGACACATGGAAATGGCTGGTTGAGTAACACCCAATTGCTCGGCAAGCATTTTTTTGCGATTGGGTATTGTCCTCATCCAAAAGAGCCTGCAGTTGATGGTCCTTAACCTTCCTGGGCTGATTTTCACACTTCTTGTCACTCAGATAAGAATTTCCATCTTTGAACTGATGAAACCAATCTCTGCACGTGGTTTCCGATAAAGCTCTGTCTCCATAAGCCTCCACAAGCATTCAATGTGCTTTGGCAGCTGATTTCTTCAAATTAAAGCAGAAAAGCAAAGATTGCCGCATATGCTCTTTTTCTGGCACAAAAGTAGACATGATTACTAAAAAAAATATATGTTGTTATATGAAATATCTGATGATGTGCACTGATTAATGTTGACAGACGTCAAAATCATCAAAAAAACAATATGGTGTCATCATGGTAACTTAATACGCTCGCTTACGCCATCTATTAGCAAACAGCGGATTTAAGCTTATACACCTGGTATATTAGTATAACCTACTTCACATTAAATTTTCATCGATGTTAAGCATAACAAAATTTTTTTTAAAATAATAATTGTCGCTATTGTATTGTTAAAAAATTATTTTTAAATTATTTTATTGCTCACAAAACAAACGACCACTCATAATTAGAAAATTAAGTCTCGTTTAAATAATGGCCTCCCTTTCATGGTCGAGCTAGTGTTGCCAGCTAAAACACACAAAAATTTAACAAAAATAATATTAAAGTAGTCAAGACATAGCCAAATATTGTAGCGCCACATCACTATGGACATTTGAAATTTGCTGACTAGAACAGTCAGTTAAACCGATGTGACGGTTAATCGGGGGTCGGATAATCAATGCTCTACTGTAATTACTAAGCAATTTGGCAGGAGGCCATCTTCTCTTGTTAAATATAATATCAATAATTATGTATAAATTAATTAATTTAAATTAATTGTAGAAATATAGCAGTAGTTCACCACACAACTGCTTTTTTTAGATTTCTATGGTATGGAGGTAGCATGATACCAGTTCCAGTGTTACTGAGAGGATCACCTGCACACAACAACACAGTTATGTGTTATCTAGAACCAGTAGTCTTAGAAAGATACTGGACAAACAACAGATGCTCAGCTCACTTGAATGTCTTATGCTTCATCTATTATTCATATAAACCAGCATATAATAACTGCAAATTTGGCACAATGGGCAAGAGAAACCTTTCAAAAGCCTGTCTCCAAATTGATGATGTGCAGATACATAGTTATATGTGGGGGCCAAAAAAAAAACAGGATTTTTTGTATAAAAACTTTATTAACTTTTTTACAAAATTCCTTCAGTCACCTTCAAAGTAATCTCCATTAGATGTGATGCACTTATCAAGTCTTTTTCCCATTGTTTGAAGCATCTCTGGCACTCTTCAACCTTGATATTGTCCAGTGCCCTTAGGGAAGCTGTTTTTATCACCTCCACATCATCAAAATGCTTCCCTTTTAGATTTTTCTTTATTCTTGGAAACAGAAAGTCACACGGGGCTAGGTCTAGTGAATACGAAGGTGGAGAACAACAGGCCATCCCCGAGAGGCCAAATAGTGGGTCACTCGTAAGGCCATGTGTGCGGAGGCGTTGTCATGATGAAGGAACCAGTCACCTGATTGCCAAAGTTCTGGGTGTTTCCTTCGCACATCCTCTTGTAGACGTCTTAAAACTTTTTTGGTGGATTTTTTCAATGTTTTTATCATTTCAAGATGTTGAAAGATGCCCAGAACTTTGCAGGCGGAACAAAATAACAGTATGCTCAAACGTAAACCTACAAACTGATGCCATCTGCAGAGCTGTTTCATGAAGGTCTCTACTAACCCCATTTAGCGGGAGAACTCTCTACTACATCTACGAATGGCAGCGCACTCTCAGTTTGGTTTTTTGGGTCCCCCTTGTATGTATCCTAATGTTTCTATAAGGCAAAGTGCAAGCTCTACTTCACTACATTTAGCATGGATTCAAATGCATTTGGCTTGGACCATACGTTGCTTAAAGTAAGTACAGTACTATGGTCCAACAAATCAGTTTTCACCATTAAGTATTTTGACAATGTCAAGAAAGAAGGACAAAATTGATCTCTCCTATTACAAATATAAGATGTAAAAGTCAGTCTTTAATACTTTGGGGCTGCACGAATTCCAATGGTGTTGATGCTCTGTACTTTTGCATCTAAACCATTATAGCTTGACTGTCCAAATCCTAAGGTAAAATCCACATCTTTCACAATGAATTATTTGGTCTACAGCCTAGCATACTTCAGCATGACGGAGATAGGTATTTGGCCATAATTACAAAAGCCTGGTGGTGACTAGCAATCACTTTTGTTTCTAGACCTAGAAATATTCCAGACTTATCACCTATCAATAAGGTGTGATGCTAGTTGAAAAAAATGGATCAGTGATGACTACAGACACTTTAGCAGTTGACAATATATTTGGCTATGGAATGGGCTAAAATTCTAATGCCTCAATGCCTCAACAACTGGTCATATAATAAAATGCAAATAAGACATTACATACTGCTAAATACAGTCACTATTAGCAATGTGAATGATTTTTTAACCTTTGTTGCTATGGCCCAGTATTTTTGTTTTGTTATTTTTTTCTCTATATATGATTTCCTACTGTTTCTGCCAGTTGTAACATATAATAAAAAATCTTGTCTTCAAGATTCATCTATGCTTGATTTATATTTTTTCTCTCTTATGTATTTAAACTAACTTTACCGATTTTAAGTTGATACAGTAATTTATCACTGTCATTTGGATGTTTACCAACTGTTTCAAAGAAATAACTCAACATTATAAAAAATAATGTCCAGCACCGCTATGCATAGCTGGACATGGAGGTTACAGAGAAATAGATTGCAAATAAACAATTTTACATAAATATGTAAATGTGCACAATATATAAACTTTGAAGTGGATACAGTAAATAATGGGCAAGTAGTGTATATGTTACCAGCCAAACCCGATTTCAGGCCAAACTAGTTTATCCTACGCGTGTCAGGATATACTAGTTTAGCCTAGGACAATCTAGTTTGTCCTAAATACTTTGGGCTTAACTAGTTTGTCCTAGGCCGAACTGACTTAGAATTATTATTTAAGTCAGGCCTGGCCAACCCAAATTGTTTCGCAGGCAACTTTAATCACGCGTAACATTACAATGGGTCACATTTAGGCAAAAATGCTTTTAAAAAAGTAAAACAAACACAAAATGAATAAGATTTCATTGTTATACAAAGAGTTTGTACTCACACTTGCGCATTATAGCAATGACACATGCAAATTTTCACTTATTTAATTGTTTTGGTATACACAAAACGGAAAACGAAAGTTTTAATGCATATGTAATATCGCTTAGCAGGCCACACAATTTAATGTGATGGGCCGCAGGTTGGCCAGGCCTGATTTAAGTATATTAATGGTTAAAATAAAATTAAGCAATCAATTAGATAAACAATATTTATTCAAACATAGTCTACTTAATTATAAAAATGGTGTTGATTAGAAGTGACACAACACTTGTACAAAACTATAAAATAAAAATAAACTAAACAGTACTTATCAGTTTGTATTTTTTTAAAGGTAATTAACTTTTGAAAATATTTTCAAAAATTCAAACGAAATAATAAAAATAACTTTTAAAGTCAAACTAAAATTAAAAATGAACTTGTTTGTGTTTCTTAGTGTAACATATAAAATATTTAATCTTTTATTTATTTTTACAGGGTGGGTTAAAGTGTACCTAGGTAACCCCAATGGCGGCACTTCAGACTGTTCGTGCTCCTGGAGGACTCCTCCTGGAGGGGAGCCGCTGGCAGGCCGCCCATTGTTTAACATCACTAGTTATTGATTCACAGTAGTTCTTGAACAAAAGAAAAAAAGGAAACGTCTACTAAAAATGTAGTTAACCTAACCGAAGCACCGCCATTGGGGTTACCTAGGTACACTTTAACCACCGGGTGTACTGTGGTGGCATTTCGAATTACACAAAATTATTTTTTTCTTTACACTGGCATCTATTTGTAGTACATAAATCAGTTCAGCCTAGGTCAAACTAGTTAAGCCTAAAGTATTTAGGCCAAACTAGATTATCCTAGGCTAAACTAGTATATCCTGACATGCGTAGGATAAACTAGTTTGGCCTGAAATCGGGTTTGGCCGGTAACATATACAATGCAATAGTACACGCAGTACATGGTATTTGCAAAGGAATAAAACGTGACAATATAACCATAGAATAAGCAAATACAATTATAGTAGGATTAAGCATACATGGAGTTCAAATTACATGGTTGATGAAAATATAGTTCACTTCACGCCAGCCTTTAGAAATTAAAATTATGACACTTACGTGTTGCGGCGTTATTGACTGAGTCAATAACGCCGCAACACGTAAGTGTCATAATTTTAAATACATGGTTGATACTTAAGCAACAAAATGTGTACAATGAAGAGTATATTATATACAATGAATAAGTGGAGAAAACAGAATACTAAGTATAAAATACACAGAACTAACAAACATGCAAATACAATGTAATAGGATTAACAGAAAGAAGGACTATACAGTATATACAATCTGAATTAAATATAACCTAGAAGTCAAGTTTTCAGTGGGAACATTAGTCCTCCTGTTGTATTGATGGATGAGTTGTACAAACTGGTTGAAGGTGTCTATATCATTTATCAGGTCAATCAAAAACTCATGATTATTTTATGGCCAGTGGCTATGCTTGTGGTTGATGAGGATGTGAAGTTGTGATCTCTCAGGCTCCATCATGGCACAGTCAAGAATGTAACGGAGGTTGCCATCCTGTGTATTACAAACAGGGCAGAGGCCGCTGTTTTGCGAGTTGACGAAATGCTTAAGGTACAAGTGAAAGCGGCCATGGTTGGTCAGAAATTGCATTAGCTGAAAGTTGGGTGTGATCCATTTATAAGCATATATCGCAGAAATATCTGGAAAAAATTGATATGTAATATTTTGTATTTTGATTCAGTCGCTTTGCCAGTTGGTGAGAAGATCAGTCCATAGTAGTTTTTTGATGGTATGTAGGTTAAATTTGCTGTAGTCTATTGGTAAAGTTTTGTCAGTGGCCGCAGATTTGGCCAGGGCATCTACCCGCTCGTTCCCGGTGTTACCTTGGTGGGCTTGTACCCAGGTGTACTTTTTTGCTTCACATATGCATTTACTTTGCTTGTGCACGCTGTAAAGACATGGTAAAAATCTGTCTCTTTGACATTTTTGTATACAGGTGGGACCGAGCGATAACCGCGTAAGTCGAATTTGCGTAAATCGGGGTATAATTTCGCAATTTGTGTAAAACCCAAGTCGGATGTATGTAAGCTAATAAATGTTTCCGTTAATCTTATCTCGTCTTTTGATTCGTTCACGGTTACAAGAAATCAACCACATAGAGTCTCTTGAGTCTCTGTAGATATAACAAACACAGAAATAAATAACACAAAATAAATTGTAGCTATGTGTCGAATCTGCGCGACACATCCGAACATGTAAGCCGAACAATAGTGGGGGGGAGTGAGTAATCAAGAGTTGCAAACAAAAGACAATTCAATGCGATTTGAAAATCACGTAACTCCGGGTTCGCCCAAGTCGAGGTATTACTGTACTTATTTATTTTCCTTCAACAAATTTCACTGTTTTTAAGGTTGTACATTTTAGAAAGTTACAAGTTTTCCTCATTCAGCAAGTATTGAGAAACTTTTGTCATAAGGTTATAAAGTAATATCTTTCACACACATTACTATACATGAGCAGTCAAAAAGTTTTCAGAATTGTGATACAGCACTGTAATGGTAAGACATGGAAACAGTTACCTAATCTCCTTCAAAGTATGACTCTTCAGCACACACATACACACTTTCCTCTCATCGATCCTGCCACTGTTGAAAGCACCATTGGAAGGCTTCTTTTGGAACATTCAGAAGTTTGGCATTAATGTATTTTGATTTGATGTCCTTCATGGCTGCAAAACATGTCCCTTTAAGATGGATAATATATTACTGGTCATTTCTACATGCATGTTTTGCATAGGTTTTGAGATGCACTTCAGAGGAAACAGCAGTGGTAGGAAGTGTGATTTCTGCATCATAATAATGCATGTTGTGATGCAGAAATTGAACCACTAATTACTTGTTATGCAACAATTTCCCATCAACTAGACTTCCTGTCATTACCCAACCACTATACTCATTAGATCTTGCTCCAAGTGACTTTTTTGACAGTTCCCTAAGCTAAAAATGGGTCACAATAAGATGTGTTTCACAATCACAGAGGACATCAAATCAAATGCAATGGCCAAACCCCTGAATATTCAAAAGGAAGCCTTCCAATGGACTTCCAACAATGTGGCAAAAAAGGATTAATGTGGCAAGTGTGTGTGTGGTGAAGTGTCCTACTTTGAAGGTGATCATTTCCATATGTTCTACAATTACAGTGCTACACCACAGTTCCAGGAACTTTTTGTCTACACATGAATTTCATATTAATGATGTTAACAAAATAGTGTAAATTATTACCAATCTTTTCCCAAACCTCCTTGGCCTTGGACTGGATTGCAGATAAATCTGATAAAATTTCTTGATGATTTTCTAATCTTTCTTGTTCATTTTTATGTAAATGATTACTTGCTTCATCTTAAAAAAAAAAAACAAAAAAAAATTTGTATCAAATTAAAACAAAACATTTTAAATTTCTTTAATTAAACAAAGACATACCTAATTTCTCCTTTATGCTATTTGTCATATCAGCCAACTCTTTTTGACCAGCTGCAATAAGTGCTTTTTCTCGAAGAATCTCTCTCAAGTTTCCTGCTACAAAGTTATGAATGTTATTTTGAGCCACTTTTAATCTTTGCTGTTGCTGCAAAAGATCTTGTTGACCTAATGCCATTGTACTTAAAGTTTGTTGAGTCAAATGGCTAACTTTTTCTTGATGAGTTTGAATAGCTTTCATAGCATCTAATTGATATTTAGTTGTTGAAACTAATTTATTAACAGTCATTTCTGTTTTTGCAGAAAATTGCTGTTGACGTGCTACATAACATACAGCTCTAGCTCTATTACTTACTATTTGATATGCATTCCAAGTAGTTGAATCCATATCTTTTGTGCATTCTTGTAATGTCTGAAATAATATAATTGTTGAAAAATTGATCAGTTGCCAGAACATTACAAGAGGTAATAATAATAAAATTGACAACAGCAATATTGAGTTAATTTTATTACAGTAGAGTGTCGTTTATCCGAATCAATTGGGGACTGAGGTCGTTTGGATAATTTATTTTTCGGATAACTGATTATGTACAAAAAAATACATTAACCTATCCCGTGTTGAAATTTTTCTCCGTTGCATGTCACTTTGTGTCGAATTTTTGTCAATGTTAAGCCTAACGTATACTTTTTTAAATAATAATCATGGCTATTGTATCGTTAAAAATTATTTCTTTATTTCTTACAAACAAAATAAATATATTGAAAAATATAAAAACCAAAAAATATATACTTTAGAAGATGATCTAGTATCAAAAACGTTCGATTCAGCACGACACACAGTCCTCAGAAAAACACCGCACAAAAGTGCCAGTGCTGCCAGCTAAAAAACACACACCAACAAAAAAATATTGGAGTAGCCCAAGATATAGCCAAATATTGCAGCGCCACAGCACTAGCGAAAATTTAAATTTGCCAATTGGAATGCTTTTGGATAACCGACATTTCGGATAAACAACTTTCGGATAAACGACGCTCTACTGTATTATAATGAATGATCTTCCAAAAAAATGTTATCATTTTAAATTATTGTAATCATGTTAATGTGCAAGTTTCACATATTTCCATTACAATTTCTAAATGTGTGCATCTTGTGTCACACAGCACACACCCAACCAATATACAAAGATCCTGGTCTCCTGTCAGAGATGAATAGTAGGGTTATCAAATTAGAACATATATCAAAGGCCTTACAATACAAATATGTAAAATAAACTAAAATGGATCTTACAACAACAACTGAAGAAGTGTCACAAATCCGTTCACTCCATTGATATGTTAGGACCACATAACACCACCAGATTATTGTAAAATCACTTACGTGTTGTGGCATTACCATGGTGAATTATTAAAATATAAATTGTTCACGAAACCCTGTTACTTATAACGGAGAACAACTATTTTCAGTTTAATTAATGGTACTATATATAGACAGACACAACAGGTACCAATGGGATCTCCACTTTCACCCATCCTAGCAGAGATAATCATGCGCAACATAGAACAGCAAGTATTTGACGCCCCCATAACCATCCAATACCCCACCTTATACTTATGTTATGTTGACAACATTTTAATCACGTGGGAGGGTTCCACCAAAAATTTAAAGCTATTCATAAAATTGTTGGCTTCAGTGTATGCATCCATCAACTTTATGCTAGAAGAAGAGTTCAATACCAAAATGACATTCCTTGATCTAGAGCAGGGCTTCTTAAACTATGGGTCGCAACCCCATTTGGGATCGCTTAGCGAAATCTTGGGGTCACGAGAATTTAATGCAAAATATTGAAAATAATTTGTGAGAGTTTGAAAATGGCATGCTTTGTGTCATAGGTTTCATGAGTTGCGTTTTGTGTCACTTTTGGTGCAGCAAGACAACGATTCAGCAACACTGATTGTAGTGTGAACTAGTGTAGTGTTGTCGCTTTTCAGTGTATTCAGTTGTCTCCGTTCCATTGTAACAAGAGTGAACTGTGGTAGTACACCATTATTGTTTTTGCAAATTTGTATATATCTTTATTTTATATTTTTTTGGGTCGCGAAAAAAAATCACAATCATAAATGGGGTCGTGAATAAAAAAGTTTAAGAAGCCCTGATCTAGAGATACATAAATCTCCTGCTCTTCAATTTTCTGTTTATCATAAAAAAACAGTATACCACAGATTATTTCTCTATGGCCTTTCAACCAACACACTATCTAAACTCAGCCATCACTTCCCTTATGAGAAGAGCGTTCCTTCTTCCTTCTAGCACAGTATTTGTAGAACAGGAAATGCAACTTATCAAAAAAGCAATGATAAAAGCAGGCTATTCCCAAGCAAAGTTTTATCATCTTCAGAATCGAGTTAAAAATAAATTATATCCTCAATCGTTCCTTACCAACAAAGAGGACCTAAGGATAGCACACCCCCATTACCATTTCTGGGTCCTGCATCACACAAAATTGTACACTTGTTTAGAAAAAATGGCTACATGCTACTACTATCCACGTAGCCTACATTAAGAAAATTGCTAACTAATGACAGAGACCCCATTGATATGAAAAAGAAATCGGAAGTTTATCTTATTCCATTACAACATAATAGATCTGGAGAAGATACTTATTATATAGGAGCAACTGCTAGAACACTAACATCATGCATCTCAGAACATCAGGATGACATCCGTAATAACCGGCCAGCAACGGAATTAGCCAGAAAAGTCCTTGATCAAGACTACCGGCCAATTTGTGACTGTCAGGTCAGCCAATTAGAGGTGAGGTGTTTTTTACAGCCGAGTGGTCAATACTGTTGCATGGAATAACTCACCGAGACAGGTTTACCATATGAACCTGTTTAATAATATACTTAAATTGTTCTTACAATAAGTCAATAAGTCAAGCAAAAGCCTATCCAACGATGGGCTACTATAACAGTTCTAATAAAAACGAAAAAGTTCAACTGTTCAATTGGTCCTTGGGTATTTTCGGCACGCTGGACACAGAGAACATTGGCACAGGGGCACGCACAGCACATGTAGAGATGTCCTCGATGGGCGAGTCGAACCTCGATGATTCTGGACGTGACGGGTTGGCAAAACCAGCTTCTAGGGCGTCGAAAGAGAATACGTTGTATCTCTGTCATGAGCACCAAATCCCAGCAGGGTAGCACTACGCACCAAAACCCAAGACCCCGTAAAATTCCCAAAAGGCATTTTTATCAATTTTTCCACCTTCATCGTCTCTCCATTGGTCTCTCCTTGTCACATGGTGACAATTCGAAACCCAACAAAGGGAGCGGGAGAGGTCAACGTCGCATCGGAACACGACTCTTCTCCAACCTCGTTTTCCTCGATTTTATCTATTGTTTAAAATCTTTTAACAAGACAAAATGTTCATTGTTTAAATCCAATCTTTAAGTTCGCTCTTTCGCGATACTAAACTTGACTCATTCAAAAAGTCGTTAATTGCCTTCTTTCGGACCCCGTTTGGGTCCTCACAGGACCAAACAAAACTATTGAAAAGATGCAATAGTCATAAAGAACTCTTTATTTGGGAAAACCTATATATTTCAACACTTTCACTATGTAATACCACAACTCTGGAAATCTCTAAAACATGGACTACTTTATTTAAACGTTACAAATCAAATTGCTAGAGCTACACGGTCACATAGCAACCATAGATTGCGAATTTTTATAATTTTCCGTTCCATTTCAAAACATTTTCGAACTGCAAGAAAATTTCGATTTACATTGGAGTTCCATTTAGCTGCACTGCTTTTTCAAGAAGTGCTACATTTGAGGCCCCAGACATAGCCCCCCCCAAAAGGAAAGATATAAAAAAAATTTGTTAAATTCAATCATCAAGAATGCAAATTATATAAATGTCAAATCGGCGACACCGGACTTTGACGTCGACGCTCATAAAGAACAACGGGAAAAACAAAATTTTAGATATAAAAGAAGAAAATTTAAAATATTAAAGTTAAGACACAGTTTGGAAAGTAAAACGAAACTAGAAAAAATATTAAAATGAGCGTAGGTGTCATAGTCAACAATTAAATGCGATCAGAGTTGAAAAGATGGTGTCGGATAAACCATCTCCAGCCAACCTTTCTCGTAAACTATGCGAAGCTCCATTTACACTTGGAGACAGGTGGAAGACCAATTAGAAAATGGTAATGTAAGGTCTATCAAATTAGCAAGAAGCGGATCTCAAAAAACCTACAAAAGCACCAATTCCAAGGACAACAAGACTTCCACTAAGCTTCCACTAGACTTCTGTCGTGTTCGTGTATCTCCGTTTTTATTGTGCATCCTTTCATCTTTTATGCATCGACTTTCAAGACTTCAAACTTTTTGTTCAATGCTGTCCAGGAGCCCTTATGACGCTGTACTAGATTGCCGCTGAAAACCCCTATGACGCTGGACCAGATTGCCGCTGAAATCCTACAACGCTGGACCAGATCGCCGCCAAAACCTCGATGACGCAAGACCAGAATCAATATCGAAATTTCCTACAACACAGGACCTTTCCAACGAGAGAATTTATGTAAGCATTATTGTCCAGAATAAACGGTTTGCCTCTGTAAAACACTTGTCTTTTGCTGCCTCGTAAAAACTGCCACCCACATACGCGTAGACCTTAGACCATCCCGACGGTAGGGAATGAAAATCTCCCCCCCAATCGGCATTCTTACATACAACTTTGATACAGAAAACTGTAGTATTCATTTCACCTGAAGATGGTAACTGTACGTTACCGAAAGTGCTCATGAACATTTTATATTTATATTTTAATAATTCACCGTGGTAATGCCACAACACATAAGTGATTTTACAATAATTATAAAGTTGGTGTGAAGTGATAACTAATTTTATTATGCACCACCGGATTTTTGAAAGAAACTCAAATATGATCCAATGTTTGCACAATGATCATCTACTATACATCCAGACAAGATAATCCTAAAAGTGAGAAATTGTTGATATCTGTTAAACCAGAACATAAAAAATTTTTTAGATGGAAAACTTTTTTGAACTACAGAAAGAACAAAACACTTGAAGAGAAAGAATGATTTGGAACAACATCATGGACAGCAGATGGCTCCACCAAATTACCTTGTTGAAAGCAGACAAAAGCAGAGCCCTCATTTAATGAAAAAAGCATCGTACCTGTTCCGGCTAAATGAATACATCGTAAATACAGAATGTGAACTATCAATGAAAACTATTTACAGCACCTCCAAAACAGTCTCCAGGTTTGCCAGCAAACCTGGAGACTGTTTTGGAGGTGCTAAATTAGCTAAAACATTACAATTACATAGAACTATTGTGACATTCCAACACTCTGAGGCTCTTTGTGTTTGCTAAAA